CCCCTCTCTCTCCCTGTCTATTCTGTACATACCCAGCCAAGCCTCACAATGCTGCATTTACTAAAGCAAGTGGCTTGGAAATTCACTGCGATGTCGCTGTTCCCAGACCACCCTCCCTGTGTTGGACTAGCTCTGTGAAGCTGTGCAGCGCTCAGACAGCGCTGATGGCAGATCGGGGCACGTGGACTGTGCCAGAGGAAAAGGCGAGATCACCTGTTTGGGAAATCTAGAACAACAGCGGACAAAAAGGAAGGAGGGACAGGCAGGTGGAAGCTTAGGTCTGCTGTGTCCACCTACCCCATACTCTATTATATACCCACACGAGTCTCTCTCTCTCTCTCTCTCTCTCTCTCTCTCTCTCTCTCTCACTCACTCTCACTCCTTGCCTCTCCCTTTCTTCCCATTTGTCTCCTCCACTCTCTGATGCTGGTGTGGTGAACCGCAGGACACTCTCCGCTGAGCTGCATGGAGGCACAGGGAGGGGCGGGGAGCCCAGGTAAGAGCCATTTTCTATTTTTGCTCTTTTCAGTGCTATAGCCGGTTGGTCACGGCCGAGTGTCTTTTTTTCTGTTCTGATTGACTTGTGCTGTGGAAAACCTGCCTGTCGTGTTTCCTCGTACATTCATGACGTGTGCAGTTGGGGACTTGCTACATGCCCGGAGCCCGATCTCTCTGATTAATGCTTGTATCTCACGAGTGAGCAACTCTTCTGCTGTAAAGAGTTAATCACTGAAATAGTGCGTGAGGTTTATATACAGGAGTGACCCTTCTGCTCATTCTCATCACCCCGGCGTCCAGCAGTAGGGGGTCCATTGCTTCCTGTTTAATCTATTGTTTAACTGTACAGGTTAATGCTCACTGTAGGTCAACCATGCTGAAGCTGCTGATTGAAAATTACAGAACAATAGTAGAGGCATATGGCCTTTGTGTAAAGACCATCCAGAGAAGCCTGCGCTGCGTGGACCCACTGAGTTGTGCTTCAGTGCCAGCAGGGGTGATGGGATGAAGTCCTAAATCAAGTCTCCTCGTGGGACTAATTAACTTTACTAAATGTAAAACTACAGAATACTTCTCATAATGTATGAAGAGCTACAGGCAGTGTTGCTCTATAAATTTCAGTATCGCTTTTATAGTGGAACCCTGGAGAAATCGAGGAAAGCTTTACTATTTAGAGCCGTAATATTTTTGGCATAATATACGATAATGTGTCTGTAGCTGTCAGTGTATATTGCTCGGTTTTAGTATGTCCCACAAGTAATTAAAGGTTTTTGGAAGTTGGTTTCTCCTAAGTGTCTGATTTTGTGAAAGTCCATGGGCCCTATTTTCATACATTATGTATGTCCTTAATGAATGAACTTTATAAAGTCCTTGTTTCATCATACAAATAATAATTTCTGATGATTCTTTCAGGCAACTTTGTTAAAATATTCTTTTAAAATATAAAAATGGTAATTTGATAATATACAGTCAGGTATATAAATATTTGGACGTGACATAATTTTGTCTCTGCACACAACCACAATGGATTTTAAATCAAACAAACATGATGAGACTTTCAGCTTGAAATGAACGGATTTTATTAAGGTATTCCATTGAGGATTATTTTTTTGTTTTGTTTTTTTCTATTGGAGGGCCATAGTCCCCAGTTTTAATCTCAAAAGTAATTGGACAAACGAACATAACATGTAAGGACTGGTTTTAATAAGTGAAGGAAAATCTTTTGCAGTAATTGACTCCCTGAAGTTTAGAACCAATGTTGCCAGACCCTTACTCTTACCACCGACAGCTGCTGCTTATTTGAGGGTCTGTGCTTTCAGGGACTGAAAGACATGCTCTGTTGTGTGAATATCTCAGGATATTCTGAATTAAAGAATATCATATTTCTTTGTCTTGAAAAACTCCTGGGTTGCTTTTGCAGCCAGGAAAAGTGTTGGAGTGTTTTGTTTTGTTTTTATCTAAGCAGAAAGTATAGCCCTGTACACCTTACAATTCATCCTGGTACTTTGTGCTACTTCTATCAGCAGTAAGCACCAGTAGCCTGTTCCCATAACTCTACATCCACCATGTTTGACAGATGATGTGGTATGCTTCTGTTCATGAGGTGTTTCTCTCCTTCTCCATGCTTTTACATTATACTGGTTCACATGAGTCTTGGTTTCATCTGTTGATTTCTGTCACAACTGAATCTCACCTCTCTGTTCTTAAGTGTAACCAGTGGTTTGAACTTTGTTATAAACCCTGTGTTTGATTTCGTAAAGGCATCGCTTGATTGTAGACTTTGACAATGATACACCTGCCTCCTCAAGAGCGTCCTTGGCTTGACTAGATGTTGTAAGGGGTTTCTCCTCCCTATATTTTATCTGTTTGTCATGGAATTGCAAAGGAACAGGCCTCGCTTGTCCATGAAACTTTTTTTCTCAGTCAGTTTATTGCTTTTGAGACTCTGAATTGAAGCTTAAAATTTACACTTCAATCACTTCTTGATTGTTTGATTTATTATCCACTGTGGTGTTTAATAAAGTAAACATATGTCACTATAAGAGCATTTTCAGCAGTACTGAATGAAATTACCTTTTAAATGGGAAATGCCATTTCCTGCAATGGCCTTGATCCCTGTACCACTGTTTTTATCTCAACAGTGCATGTTCATGCTATCCGCCAGAGCTACCTGCCCACTACAAATAATGATCATATTTGTCCATTAAGATGTGATTGAATTAGAGTGAACATCATTACTGTGATGTATCACAGAAGTGGGTCACAAAGCATGACCTTTTGATGGCATCATGTGGCAAACACAGCAACTGCTTTGAATGAAGGGATATTCTGAATTAAGAACAGTAACAGCTTATTAAAAAAGGCCTTTGTCTTATCTATAAGGATGAGAAATAATGTTAAAAGAAACTGCATTAAAAACACTGTAAACCATGTTAACTGTGTTCTCAATTCAGCCAAATATTCATCCTCCTCTGTATACTCGCTTCCCTGTGGGAGTAATGTTTATATAAATCTGCCACTGCGGGTGTAGCGTAAAATATGAGTAGAGCATATATGGGATGTAAGACAGAGAGAAATTAGCAAGCACAAGGACCTGGCAAGGTCATAGACCATGTTAACTTTTCCTGCCAGTGCAACACAGTCAAACAGCAACTGATTTATTACACCGAGGCTGTGAATTTGATTCAACTTTTGGCAGTCGTACAGTACACCATCCCACCAACCTCCCTCGCTCTGTTTCTACATCTCCCACCATCTGTCTGCATGTCTTGGGTTAGCTGATTCATAGACAGTCATGGCTGACAGCTCAAGACAGGGTCAGTGGCATCCTGAAAAAGGGCACATGTATGACTGGCAGTCTTTTAACAGCACTGACTTACATTGTCATTATTTACTCGGGCTTCTTCACAGACATTGTAGCAGTTGGTGGCTAGATCAGACCATCTGTGCAAAGTGCCTAACTGTATATGCAAAGAATACTGTGACTTCCAATAAAGACCTTTTCAGCTGTTACTGATTAATATTGCACCTTGGAGACAGTCATTTTCAACTACTAAATGCTAAATGCAAGCCTATACATACACACACATGTATTTGTTGGTGTCTTACATGTATCTTCTATCTAAAAGGCAACATTTCCTTATAGATGGATGGATGGAAACAAATGTTCGTTGAAGGAAATAGAAACCAGAGATGTTTATAGTCAAAATATTGAGCAAACGTTTCATTATAACAACAGAGGTAAATGTGTAGTGTTTCAGTTTGTGTGGTTCCTCACTGGGGAAATTAATCAATAGCTGGCGATAAACACTTTGCGTCTTAGGTTGCAATGAAAATCCATCACGTTCTGCTTTCACCTTGGCTGTAACATATTTATTCATCTGAAATAAGAAATTCCAAAGTCTGAACATACTGCAAGCAGAAATGGTACAGACCATCTGGTGAGGCCCACCAGGAAGCCGCTGTACTCCCACAGTTGCATCTGTTGTGCATGTTATCATCAAATGCAGCCAAAGTTATTGCTACATGTTGCGCCATAAACAAATGACTCTTCTTTTCAGCTTTTTTTCCCTTACTTTCAAATGTATGGTTAATGTCTCCTTGGCAACATCAGCTGTCGCAATCTCACGACGCAGTATGTCGGGGAAGTTGATTTTTTAGGTGTTCAAGGTCACTGTGACTTCACAAAACATGTTTTGGGTTACAACTTAGAATAATATATGCACATGCTGTAGCGCACCATTCTGAAGGAAGAGCTTACCCAGATGACAGTAGTAGTGATCAGAAAGTTTACTTATCTGATAAAACTATTGTATAATTTTAAACTCCCACCAGTGTCTGGAATACTGGTTACGCTCTCTATTCCTCTCACTAAATGTGCAGCTTACCTTATTTAGTCTCCTCACATACTGCATTGTGCTTTCAGCTCTGTCAAACAGGTGAAAATTTAACCTTGATCAAGTTTAACCAATTTAGATTTTATGCATGCTTCTGAGTGTGGAAGAATGCTATTTTAAGTCTCTACTATTTTCAGATTTTGTTGATGGCCTCTGTGAACTGTTTTCAATAGATGTTTGAGATGTTTTTGGGAACATGACCGGGCTGTTAGAATGCAGTATCTTTTGTAACACTAGAGTGACTATATTGTGAAGCAGAAACGATGAATTAGGGATCTGTAAAAAGCCAACACCAATCTCACTGAAAGGAACCACACATGCTTTAATTCAAGAGGTTTAACAAAAGTATTGCATTAACTGCTTAGGAATTATAGCCATTCTTATAGATACGTAGTTCCACATTTTTGGATATTGAACTACAGTATGGCAACATTGGAGAAATGTTAAATATGAGAATATTCATTTTAATAGCTGGATAAATATTTTTTTGCAATCAATGACTACTTGAAGTCATTGATTAGCCCATGGACATCACCAAATGCTGTTTTTCTTTTCTTGAAATGCTGTGTTGGGCTTTTACTGTAGCCATCTTCAGCTGTTCCTTGTTTGTGGATTCTCTGCCTTCAGTCATAGATGCAAATGCCATACTGCCTATAAATACTGCCTCCACCATACTTGGCAGATAATGTGTTATACTTCAGCTCACGAGCTGTTTCTTTCCTTCTCGATATTCTCCATCATTTCGATATAAGTTAATCATTTCAACAATTTTTTTCCAGGACTGTGCAGATTCTTGTAGACGTTTTCTCGACTTGCTTAAATGTTGTGAAGGTGGAGATAATTCGATCAATGTGCAATTTAGTGCTCTTTCACTTCTTCGATCGTTCAGGCCTTTTGGTGTTGATGAACTGACCTGTTCATTCCTTCCTTTTAACAATGTAGCAGATTGTTGATTTGGCCAATCCGTCCCAAAAACAATAAACAACCCTAACAAGTGTGAGTAAAACAATTGGAATCAGTCCGATATATTCTATCAGCTTAATATGTCATGAAATAATAAAGGAACAGACCTCATTAAACTGCTTGTCCAGTTCACTCAGTTGTCCAATTACTTTCGGTTGGAAGATTGTGCATAAAAGTCACTGATTTCCTAAGCAATTAATTATTTTTGTTAAACTCCTTGAATTAAAGCTGAAAAATTGACTTTAATCAAATTGTGACTGTTTGGCTTAAATAACACTGTGGTGGTACACAGAGTGGTGTATATGTGGTTATACACAAATTTATGCATCTAACTGTATATGACAGACATGTATCAGTTTAGTTTAAACACTAAACTCACACTGATGCGTAGGCTGCATAGATGTTGTGAAGAACTTTTTGCATTATATAACAAAAAGACAAGCAGCTGAGATGCTTGAGCGTTATAAGGTGACGCAGGTAGCTTGGGATTAATGGCCAGCTGGTGTCTGATTTGGAAAACACATAATAGTGGTTATACAAGGAGGATTATCACTAAACATGGCAAACATGGGAGCAAATACTAAGTTCTTTCAGTTCTGGAAAATTTCTGAGTACTTTGTTTCATTTCATTACTCAACATCTTCTCTGCATTATTGTGTTGCCTTAAATTGCATTTGATTAGCAACAATAATCAATACCTGAGGCTTAAAATCGTTAGCTTTCCTTTTAATTCTCTCTTTTATGCTCAATCTCCTTTTCTGGGTTTTCACTGGATGACAGAGCCCAATAAAGACATCCAGAAGCTGCTGAAGCCCTCCAGCTCAGGCGACCTGTCCAAGGAGCTGTTTCAGCACCCATTAGCAGAGGAGGAGGGCAGCTTGTCAGGGCACACTGCTAGCCTGCTGCACATCAACGAGAAGAGACGTGAGTACAAGTGATAGTATAAAGAGTTGGTTATTTTAGCAATATGAAATAGTGATGAATATTCATTGGCAGTAAAGAGGTGTTACAGGCTAATTATAAATGGGAAAAGCCTTGAGCAAGATACCTGATCAATAGTCTCTAATGAAGAAAATAAGTAATCACGGAAGAGGATATTCTTCTGTAAAAATGTATTTTATCAGTGCCGGTCACGGATTGATATCATAACACAATAACAATCCCATACTAACATATCTGTGGAGCTCTAATACATACTTCACACATGTAATTATGGATTATACAAGCATTCTTTAGTCAATTCCAGGTATATGGATCCCTTTGGATTTACTACTGCCTGTTTTACGTATTCTGGTCCAACATTCTCAAAGCACCACAGCCTCGACTGAACAGACCCATTGTGCATCAGTCTCATACAGAGGGTTCTCTGTAAGCGCCAGACTCCCAAGGCACAAAAGCACAGAGACGAATACAGGAGCTACATGGATGACAAGGCAGCCTTTTTCTGCTTCACAAACTGAACTCTTTTTCAAGGAGACACCTCATCCACAGGCCAATTTCGGTGTCTCTCTGATTTAACGTAACCCACGACATAATCGTGCTACCTGGCAGCTCAGCTTAATAGTCTATGGCAAGAGAGTCTATGGAGAGAGAGTGAAACCAAGACTGGTGGTTTGAAATATTTCCAAAAAATTTAGAGTCTGATTTGAACGAGATTACCCTTCTGATCAGTGAGAGTCATTCATTAACGCTAAAGTGCTAAAGAACACGACGTCATCCAAAAATGGCACAGAAACAAATAATCTCCTTGAGCTGCAGTTTGCTCCTGAGTCATCTGCAAGGCTTATTTTTAGGCTCAGCCTCAAAAAAAATCAAACATCTTAATATCCCAGAAAAGATCATTTGGTTTGCAGGAACTAAGGTGGTAAGAAAAAAAAACCCTGCAGTATGGATGCATCCACAAATGAATACAAGGCCATAGAAAGCTGCACTGTAAACCAATTGCACTCTGATTGCATGGATGGAAAGAAATAAAACATTTATGGCAACCGCCCATACTATCAGTTTCTTTAATAGGAGAAAGTGGGCAAGATCAAAGGAATTTTAATTAGGATTTTAATTCAGCTTGTGTCCTTCAAATTAAAACATCCTGTAAGGAAAATATATTTAGATAAATGTAGGCAAATGTTGGTTTACTCTGGTTGTGTGGGCTATTGCAGAGGCCGGCGTTTGAATCTTTTCGATGATGTATTTTAGCTCTTTTTCCTGTGTTTCCAGTGTGTTTTAATTTGGATTTCATCCCCTAGTGAAGCACTCTTCTTGCTATGTGTGTAGCAATTACACCTCATTTATTGATTAACAAGCAATCCAACAGAAAATAAGTAAACAACATTAGGCCGTGTTTATCAAGAACATTCAGATCTGTTATAAAGAATGCATTATATATGTGATAGAAATTTTTGACACTGTTTGTTTAATATATACATCTCAATAGCTTAGCCTGGTGTCAGTCTTATTCACTTCATTAGTCTCAGTCATTATTACAATCTGCTCAGGCTGAACTGATGACCTCAGAGCCCTGATAGGCTAGGGAAGAAAGGGGATTATACAGATCCAAGATGCACGGCGCATCCATTCCACTCTCTGATCCCTTCTCCATATGTGAAGCCCTCCCTCTTATCCATTCTCCCTATTTTTGCTCTTCCATTTGAACCTATCTCTACATTTATAGTTGTAAAGAGAGGAAAGAAAAAGGAAAAATGAGAATACTGAATAGTCATGTTGTCTTGAAGTAATTGAGAATTTTAAATGAGAGGTTCTATTGAAATCAGGGGACTTTTGTTTTGCACACATGGACTGCAAGCATGTGATGAAAAAATATAGTATTAGTGAAGAAGGAGACAAAATGAATGCATGTGAATGTGCGGGCCACTGGCCAAGAAATGGTCGTCTCTTACATCTGCTGTATGCTTTTTGTCCTCCCCCTCTCCCCACTGACTTCTCAGAGTGCCACTGATTGGCTTTTGAACTGGAGGCAGTTGTTTCAGCGTGTCTGTCTAGGACTGGAAACCGACTGATCAATTATTCAAGGAGAAAGGGTGTGGAAAAGGGGAAAAAGAAGAGATGGGGGAGAGGCGGTTAAAAGCAAGCGCAATAGAAAGGGAATAACCCTTATCAGCTGAAAATAATGACAGAACTTACAAGGAGGTATTGTGTTGTTTCACATACTGCCTCATTTCCCCCTCTTGTCGCTTTCTTTGCCATACCCATTTTATTATTTTAGATTTAGCTCCTTACCTAACGCTCCCTCTTCTCCCATCGCCCTGCCTCTCCCTCATCTTTCTTCATCTCCTCCCCCACAGTTTTCTTCATGTTTCACTGCCTTAGTTTTTTACCTCCCAAAATGCAGTTAAAAATACTGATAACTGTAGCAAGCACCTTTCTGCCTGCTGAAAACACAATATATATTCAGAAACATGCACAAGAATCAACCTAAAGAGATGGAAAAAAATAACTTTTATGAGTTTTTTTTAAAAAACAGTTATTGTATGTTTTAGTGCTTATTTAAAACCAATCCCAGACAGCAGAAATAGAGACCTTCAAGCTTTGGATGTGAAGTCTAAATCTTTCTGTGGCTGTTTTAATTATATGTACTGTGGTGGTTAATGGAGTGATAATGGAAGCTGGCTAGCTGAATCCTTAATATATTTCAAATGTCTACTATATTCAGTTACTTATATTTATATTCTCTTCGTCACAGCTTCCTGTTTCATTCCTCTTGGGATTTCTGCTGAGTGTTTCTCTTATATCTTAAAAATGACACAGCTACTTCCCTGGCATAATAAATAAGTCTTTTAAAAATCAATATGTGCTCTATCAGGACCATGATGAATTAAATGAAATATAGCAGCAGACAAGGAGCAGCAGGAGGAGAGTGGGCTCTGCTTCTTCAGCTGCTTCAGCCTGAGACAGTGCCTTAAACTGCCTGGAAAACGGCACGCAAACAGCACGGGATAATAACAGCTTTCAACCTGTCATGGAGCCCATCGTTTTTTTACAAGTCACGCTACAACCAGCCAATGATGTGCTTTAGTCAGGACTTTGCATGTAAGGCTAGCACCCACTGATTGATAAGGAAATGCAAGCACACGTCTGTCTGCATCACCGCAGACCTCTTTCTCACTATACTGTTAGATTAGTCCTGCTCAATTACATCTAATTGTTTCCTAACTTGGGTAATGCTGAGACAAGCAGATGTTCTCTTGGTGCACTTTATGCAAAGATTATTTAGATCTCTGAATAAATCTGACTTTGCATACATTACATTAAAATCTCACCTTTGGAGGCACTTTGACTGGAAAGCTGAGTCAGGCGTTTGGATGCACACCACGTGTACGTTAATACCACCCTGTTCTGTGCAGCAGCGGACGAAATGGCCTGCTGAAGAATCACAAGCTTGTGGAGAAAAGAACAGGTGCAACACACCCAAGAGAAGAAAAAAAAATAAGATCTGGTTATTTTCATCTCTACAGAGCTCTTGTTTCATTTCTTCAGTAAGCTCCTGAGTCAACACAAGGGGTGTCATGCTGAGAGAGGAATTCACTGAATGAAGCATCAAAATCAGACACAGATTTAGGAAATGTACAGTATGTGAAATGCTTCTGTAATAGAGAGCACTGTACAAGTTGTACAGATTAAAGTGGATACAGGAGCAGAAAAGAAATTGATTTTACAATAGCACTGCAAGAGTCAGGTATCGATCTGATTATCAGTACAATAGATTCAAGAGCTCCTTACTTGAGCTGTTGAAATATATGCAGTTTATCTCCTACTTCTTTGAAAGAGACACTTTTTTCTGCACTGTCAGCAAAAATGAGTGATTTTAATCTCCCGTGTTCTCTCCAGACTAAAAGGACTCTTTTATTTCTCTGCTTCATAGAACCGTTGAGCAGTGTCTCTTCTTTAGAGGTGCACTTTGACCTCTTGGATCTCACTGAACTTACCGATATGTCTGACCAGGAGCTAGCTGAAGTTTTCGCTGACTCTGATGAGGAAAACCACAATGAGTCCCCAGCAGGTAAGGATTTCTAAGATTAGATATATATGTTGCAATAAACACTGATCATTAAAACATGAAAGTAAAGAGAACCAGGACTATTACAGGAGTGTACAAGTCACCCCTCATTTATTTATATTTTGCCTTTGATGAAACAGACTTTATTGTAATTCTATAAAGTTTTCCTGAGCAATAGTTGTGCCGCCTGTCTCAAGGTCTCTCAATTTATTAATTTATTTTATTTATTTTTTTGTTGCTTTTTCACTAATTTTCAGAACATTTGTTGTACCTGACCATTTTGGCATATCTCAACACGATGTGCGGTGTGTCCTTTCAAAATGTTTAGGGAATTAGACAAGTGTAGGACAAAAGAAGAAGTGGCAGGCCTAAAGAAACTATTTAAGGCAGATGAACATTATTTGAAAGTTGTGTCTTTAAGAAACATGGGGGGAATCCAGCAAAGACTGAGAGAAACATGGCCCTACAGCTGATCCATCTACTATTCAATGAAGCCTTTCCAGAAATGCTCTCAGTGGAATGGTAACTATCCAAAAGCCATTCTTTAGGAAGGGAAACAGGGAGAAAGGCATGAGGTATGCCAATAATACAAGGACTGAACTGGAAATCCAGGTCTGATGGGGTGAGGAATCCAAATATGAAATTGTTATCAATATGTCTGAAGCAGTCAAGTGAGAGATCCAACAGTGAGAGTCTACAGCCACCTGTATAACATGGTGGAGGTGCTGTCATTGTTTGGGGCTGCATTTTCACCAGTGGTTAAAAGAACCATCAAATTTTGATCTAATATTCAATATCATCTGTAAAGGATCTGAGTGGCAGCAGTTTCATATTTCAGCATGACATTGATCCCAAAGAGAAATTACAAGAAACCTTACCTAGGAGTGTTCAGACTGTGTTGAAGAGTAAAGATAGTCATGTTAAATCTTGACTTCAAGTGTGTTGGATTTGTACAAATGCTGTTTTGCCTCATAGACTGTATTTCTGCACTCCCCATTCCCCTGAAATGAGGGTTGGCTCAAGACTTTTGCACCATATGTTATATTTCCTCAAGGTTTGCCGAGACAACGGCTCATACAAAAACTGATTATCCTCATTCTGCAATCTCCTTAAGATATCTTGTACTCCATGCACAGATTTTAATTAACGCAAGGCGCAAAACATTTTTGCAGCTCTTTTCCCTGTAGCTTGATTGCCGAGGGAAGCATTTCCCAGATTAGTGACTGTGGGTGTAAAAAGTAAAGAAGCAATCATTTTGTGGGGGTGGAAGGGTGTGCATAAGAGAGACAGAATGTGTATTTGTGTTACTCATTTTGTGGGGACATGCGCCTGTTTATGCAGTAACATTGTTGATCTGACATCAACAAGCCCCAACAAAATCAATCGATCAGTGTTAGTACTGTAAGACCTGATTTAAGGGTAGAGTAAGATTAGGTCAATGCAAGCAGTAAACAGACCTTTGTCTCCAGGAACTGAATGTGAGTCAATGTAAAGTCCTCTGAAGTAATGGAAAGACGACCGCGTGTGTGCAAGAGACAGATTCAAATCATTATGGCTCAGCAGGGTCCTAAAACAGCCTGCTGAGCTGTAACGATTTGAAATATCATGTGACTCCTTCACAGACTCATTAAAAACATAATTCACAGTGTCACAGTGGTTAAGTAAAAGGGGCAGTTTAACTTGGTTAATTTCCATTTTTACGTCGCCTAACAGTGAGAGGAAAGAATTTCATATTGATTATATTGATTAAAACAAATATGAATTCTTTTATTCTGACAAGTGAAAGGAAAAGATGACTGTGAGGGCTGGAGCTGCATCACTTCAACCCCACATCAGCCAAATTAGTCAAATACAGCACATGGGGTTTGTGCGTATTAAAGAGGTGAGACAGTTTGCTGTCACAGCAGCAGGTGCAAAAAAGCTGTTGTGCAAAAAAACAAACAAAAAAACACCATTGGTAGCAGCGTGCTGCACATGCAAAGTCAACTTTGTCCTCTGAGCGTCTCGACATGCACTATGGGTTTTTGTCAGCTTAAGATGTAAAAGTCTGATATAAACATTAGCAGTCTATTTTCGCTCCATGGACAGTGGGGCGTTCGTTCTTTGTTTGTCCAAGAGTACCTAAAAGAAGGTTGAACACATATTAGCATAAAGTGCTGACCCTGTTTGGTGATGATATGACATGTACACTCTTATAGGCACCTACATATCATGACACAGTGTGTTAAGTGTGAGTTATAGCCCCAGTGGGATCTGTGCTATATACTGCTGCCTCCAGCGCTGTAGTCATTTATCTAAATTTGAGATACAGTGGTTACTGCAGGGACATCTTATGTCCAAAAATAGACTTTTTCCTTTGTTTTTAGTAAATCCACTCTGTTGTATGTGCTGTATGTAATGGTATGCTGATAACTGTATTCTCATGGTTCACGTTACTGTAGCAACTCAACTAGATGGAAAAAATTTAGTAATTTCAGTAATTTATTTAGGCTATTTAATAGAAAAAAAGAGGATGCTGTAATAATGAATATACATAGAATATTGTGTAATTGCATCATCCAAAAAAAACTGATGCACCATCTTAAACTTATAGTTAATCTATTAAAAATACATAGGATTGGGTTTGCAGTTTGTTGAAGTTGCCATGTTTGAATACAGTGGCCAGGAAGGAGATCTCCCAATGGAGTTTAATGTATGTGGCTAGAGGCCGGCCACATACGTAGTACAACAAAGCCAGAGAAAAGAAGCCATAGATTTTGGTGTGCTGTGGAAGGATATTTAATGCCTTCAGCACCTTTCAGAGTCAAGATGTGAAGGACCAGAGCTATGTTTTATTCTTAAAGAAGGGGTCCAAACTGAGGAGTGAGCTTTTTACCAGCTTCTTAATAAAATGTTGTTCTCTTTCTTCCCACCTCAAGCCTTTTCTCCTGCACTGTAGTCAAGACTCTACCACACGAAAATGTCCATAAATTTATTTTGGATTTATTTATTTATTCTTGATATTGTCACAGTTAGTAATTGGCAGCAGATTACACATGTGACCTTCCCTTCTTGGGACAGCTGACAAGAGCTGACTAAACAGCAACAACAGTTGGTTATAAGCTAACATTAAGCTAGGTAACATAAGCTTCAAGTGGCTTAAAAATCACACTTTCCCTCTGATAAACAATTTGATTACAGTACATCTCATGAAAGTTTAGAGTCAAATGATGCTACATCTAGTTCAAAGACAGTTTCACTAATGCCAGCAAGCAGCAGCTAACATAGGCTAAGTAGCAAAAACAGTAGCGCTTAGTTTAGCACAGAGATTCCCAAAGTGTGGGGCGCAGAGCCATTGAAGGGGGGAGGGCACGGTATGAAAAAAAAAAAAAAAAAAGAGTACTTGGGCACTGCTAGCATAGTGGACAGGTTTTTGACGGGGCTCCCACACAAACGCAAAGCAGGAAATGAAGTATCCAAATATGTTTCCAAACCAACTTCATTCTAAGCCAAAGACTAGAAA